AAAAGTTGCGGATTAGGAAGTGAAACTAAGGACTTGCCTTATCGAACTGGAAGGGAATTTGGTTGCATTCCTCATTTTATTGACTATTGCTTTACTTGCCTCCAATTTGGAGAGCAAATTTGACACAAGATCGATTTAATGTTCACCATCCCCACCTCTCTACTCGTACATGAGGGAGAGGCAAAAATCCTTATTGGGACGTTTCAGACATTAGGGATTGATCCTGACCTTCCCCCTTTAAGTGTAAGTGGAAAGGTGGAAAGGTGTTGTCTAGAGATGGAGATTCCTACTTCCTGAAGCTGAACATTTCATTTTCACCTGCAGTAGTAAATACATTCCGATACCAGTTTAAGTATGAGTAATAATAGGTAATATATATATATATATATATATATATATATATATATATATATATATATATATATATATAAAGTGGATACTGAGGTCAAGACCTATTGGTGACTGTCTGTTTCATGCTTGAACGCAAGCTTCAGGCCTGAATATTAAATGCTTTTACCCATAAATATAGCACACCTTAAAACTATATATATATATATATATATTACAAAAAAGCGGTCATACAAAGATAAATCAGTAAAGTCTCGGAAGTTATCTGAATTTACCTGAAAAGGAAAAATTATATTCATACCTGATGATGATAAGAAGAATTATCAAAAGTACTAGCATATTTACAGAACATACGGAACATCTAATCCATTTTACAATTTTTAAAAACAGGGATCGCGTCATTCAACTAGTGGTTAATAGATTAATGCTTTATTAAATCTGTTAGTAAAGTGAATTCGCCATTAATTACATTAACTTTTCTGATTTATTCTTTGTATGACTACTACTTTGTAATATTAATTATACTGCACCATTTAATATATATATATATATATATAATCATACTGCACCATTTAATATATATATGTGTGTGTGTGTGTGTGTGTGTGTGTGTGTGTGTGTGTGTATTTGAGGTGATGCATATTTTCGTAAAAGGTGAAAACCCATTTCCCTTTTAAATTTTTGTTAAACATCTTTTTACGAATTTTGTAATGTCTGGACATTATGAAATTTGTCAAAAAATGATTGATGCTTGACTGAACATCTCCCTATTATCTCTAACTCAAAAGGAAAATCTCTTGCTTTTCAAAAATGAGTAATCTCTGAACAAAATTTTGATAACATAACAACAAAATAGTTTTCAGTGAATTTCGAAAAACCAAAAATCTCTCCATTAAGAAAATTGACAATAAAAATTTATGAATTTAGCGATAAACTTGCGTTTTTTCGTGAAGCAAATTTAGAATGCATTTTTCGGTTGGAACAAATAAAAGTACAAGTGTTCTTTATTTTTTATATATTTTGTTTTAGGATTAATTTTATAAAAATAGAATAATTTTTATAGTGAATGACCATAAATTTGTCTGAACAGAAGTGGCAATTGAGTGGTGACAACTTTGGATCTCAAACTCTTTTCAAATAAACATTTCTGCTCTATCAATCATGTCTATCGATCACATTATTTGATCCCCAGAGGAAAATGCCAGATTCGATTGGCAGAAAATTCATCTAACAGTGAAGCATTATTAAATCGGTTATCATTTTTGCTTATTGATTTGTAATTTAAAAACACATGACCAGTTTGATATTATTCGTTGGACCATAATGTTGCGAAGCAGAGGCATTTAACACTTTCAGCGCACAAGTATTCATTTACAAGATTTAATCTCGCGCTCCGTAGGGCGTTCTTGTTATACTTTTATTGTATTCCACCGGCAATGAGGAAGATAAACATTCTATCTAAACAGTTTCTGTAAATAGGTACAAAGCACTTAGCATTATTAGACGTTAAGTGTGTGCCGTCAGAAGAAAATGCTATGAAAAAATTGCCCAAGATGAGTGTATCCTTTTTATGCGTTCATTTATTCCTGAACTACAATTTCTATGAAATAATGTTTACGGAAATAAAAATAAGAGGGAAAAAGATAAACATGTTAAATCAAGGTTGAATTTACCAATATCTAATGCCTAAAAATTACGAGGTGTCACTAAATAATTTATTTATAAGTCAATTAGTATCCATTTAATTATGTAAAACAATAAAATTCAGTTCTCGCTCTTTAAAAAATCTTAAAAGGAAAATAAAATCAGTTCGAGATATTTTTAATGAACTGATTCGCTTAAATGTGAGCAGATTGATTGAAATTGCTTAATGTTTGATGATTGTTTTTGATGACTTCATTCGAATATCTACCGTGTCTTTTCATTAATATTGAAGACTACTTCAATATAACGATGAATCTAAAAAGCTTAAAGGAATAATAATTTTCAACGCATTGATCAAATTCTAACAGTCGAATTGAATCTCCTCATCTTTTATTATTATGGCAAATCGGGCAAGTGAATATGGCGTTTATCGAGAATGCATCGTATCTGTTTTTGAAGGTCAATGAAAACAGTCAAAATTCTAATTATTGTACTCACGCTACGATGATAATCTACTTCTGATTGAAATTATATAAACTTGATTCCAGAGTTTTTCTTATAAGTATTAGCTCGATTCGGCCCAAAAGTTACAGGTTGCTTACAGTGCATGGTGCTAAGAAGCAGTTACCCAGCTAAACATTGATCAAGTTTCATAGTACTTAACTTCAGTTTTCACACAAATGCACGGGACACTCAACATGATTTGGAGCCTTTGAAATATTTGGCACATTGTACGAATATTGGTAATTATATTGTAGATGTCCATTAAGAAATGATCGTAATAGTAACAGCCTTTTTTTGCCGCATGAATATATAAGTTCGTTTTCAATTATTGAGGAGATTCTGAGAAGATGTAATAAATGTCTATCGTGGATTAGAGCCAGAGATTAAGGTAACTTTTTTAATTACTAAGTAAATATTGAATATAAAATTATAACACTCAACAGATATTATAAAGGAATCTGGAGCATTTCAAGCATATATATATATATATATATATATATATATATATATATATATATATATATATATATATATATATATATATATATATATAATTGTAATGTAAAGATGATTATATTTTCCGCGTGAGTCCAGTAGGATTTAATCCTCAACTATTTCTGAATGAAAATCAGTTTTCGAAAAATACCTCAAAATTGCATCTCAGCCTTGGAATATTTTCATTTGTTGTGAAATATGATCGAGTTGTCTGCGACCAAAAGAATAAAATTAGTTGTTTTATTAAAACACAACTTCTGTCGTCCTCAATAAATTTAAAGCACATCAATAGATAAACACATCAGTAAATAATATTGAACTCTTTTCTTGTTTTCCTTGCTCCTTATTTTCTGATTTAAAGAGTTACGCGAAAATAAACTTACTGGCAGAGACAACGTCTTCAAACCATCGTCACAAGTCTTGACAATTTCAATGCCTCAGTATAGTTATCATTTTTTATTTTTTTATATGCCATGTCATTTCAGGACGTGGGCGATCATGGCTCTCCTCAACTCTCTGTCTTTTGTTGCTCTCAGTAACTTTTGACCCTTTACTACCCGTGTCTTGTCGCTCGAAAACATTAAAAAGGTTACTGCCTGTGTTCCCCTTCCTTCTCTTGCCTTCAGTAAATCCTGTGAGTACTAAATTCTCAAGCTTTCTTTTTTCATTATGTTATCTGAAATTACAGCTTTTTCTGATCGTTAACAACAATTTCCTTGCAGTTCTTATACTTCTGAAATCTTTTCATCACGCGTATTCTTTTTAGCCTATAATTCTTGAAGTATTTTCCTAAACATTTTTATAGACGCGCATTGAAAATATCCGAGACCCAACGAAAGGTTACAATAAAATAAAGGTACACTGGTGTCATGGCTCGATTTTTAAAGCAGCCTTTTCTAAATTGGAAGATTGGCGCAATACAATCTGCTTCTCTCCCAACATTTCATTTAATCTTGTGTCAGGCTTCATTTTATTGAAGCGAATAAGTCACTTCATCAGAAGCTGTCCCAGATTTCTTCTTTTTATAATTCTCTCCGATTTTATTTTCAATTTTCATTCTGCATCATTTTCTAACGATTTCTGATCACGTTGAGTTTACACAATGTTTGACTGTAGAAATATTCTCTCATCTTTAATTTATAACTTTATATACGCAAAAAAAAAAAACAAAAAAAAAAAACAAAGAAAAAAACACCCCGAACTACTACCAGTCACGATGAAACGATGTCTCATTAAGGAGGCGCCCTGTCCTGAGAGAATATTGGACCTCAAACTCACACCCGATCTCATGTGCTAAAGATGCAGGTAAAATGATCAGCTCCCTGTACCCCTCCATTAAGTACCTGACACCTCATGCTATCCTCTACCTTTATAAGAGCCAGATCAGGCCGAAAATGGAGGACTGTTGTATTTGGACAAAAGCTGACCAGTCTTCACTTTCCAGCTTTGATAGAGTTCAAAATGAGTCTTTGTTGGAGAAGAAGAATTTCCCACCCACCAATGTCTCTGTCACAGGCGGGATGTAGCGAGTCTCTCATTGGTCTATCGTTACTACCATGGAAAAGGGCTCGGACGGACTACATTCCTTGGTTTCGTCAGGCCTAACCTTCGTGGCTAGGACCCGCAGTGATACTTACATTGTAGCAGTCTACCCACATTTCCTCCACATTCCATCGGCGAGAAGTGAGTTTCAGTAAACAGCTTCTTCCCGCGAAGTAATTCTCTGTGGAACTCCAAAGAGGATGTCTCCCGATCACTACAATCTTAACCTGTTAAAGGCTGGAGTTAACTGTTATCTTCCCCTCCTATCCATATAAACTACCCCTTAACGTAACCCATAACCTCGAGTGTCACCCGGGCCTTGTACAGGGTGAACCCTACTGTAGAAAAAATCAACATTCCACTTTCATTTTTTCATGTCATATTCGTAAAACGAAACAGTTTGCTATTTTTTTTATTAATTATTTATGCAATCATCCATATTTTTCCATTTTTATTTATTTTTAAAGGTAACTTTCCAAGAAGTGATTGCTGAACCAGAGCCGTCAGTTTTTTCTTTGGACAAAATTTGGGTTCTCAGCTTCAAGGTAAAAATTATTTTTTCTTTTAATACAGATTTTGTAAATATTCAGTTTATACAAGTAAACGATATTTGCAAATCGTTATTAACTTTGAGCTTCTTACTTTAAGTTTCTTAAATGAGACACGAAATTAGGGAGGCGATATTTGGACATTTTGAGTTTAAAGAAAACCTCCGATGGATTTAAGAAAATTGTGAGAGTAAAAATGGTATAAAGAATATCAAATCAGACAATCAATTGAATTATATTACAACTCGATCGCTATTTCTAGTTAGCAAATAAGCACACATCAGGTGTTATATCTCTTTCTCTTTGAAACATATATACACGGCGTGATATGTCATTGTACTGATTATTGAAATCAAAATAATCACAGGAACGGCTACAGTAGTGGAGTATCTACCGAGTATTGAACTCACAACAGTAGCAATTGTCTGCAAAGTCAAGATGCTGACTCTCACTCTACGGCAGGCATTTGAATTTTCAGATTCATAATCGAAAAGACCTACTTCAGTATTTTCTTCCCTATTGTTATTTGTGACTTGGCAGATTTTGTGGAATCAACAACAGCGAAATTTCACAAAGAAGAGAAAATTTTTTAATTTAAAAAGAACACTCGCACTTAAACTTGGAAAATGGTATCCGTGAAATTCCAGTTAAAATTCTTTGTATCACTTTTTCAGTGATGTTCTACCATTGCTCGATAGACTAGGGTTTTGATATCGCTACACCACGATGACAGACTACAGACAATCAATCAATTTCCCCATAATCACCTGACAAGGAAGACAAATGACTGCAATGATCACTGTCGATTTTCCCAACGGGAAACAATTCACATTTAAATAGCAATAATTTTATTCTTGTCTCTCCTGAAAACGAAGATTCTGCACATTTTGAAGTTTTTTTCAAAAGAATCTGTCAAATTTTCCCGACGCTGATGATGTAAAAACTTCAACTCATCAACCTTTCGATCCACCATGCATATAGCAAAAACTGGTAGTAACATTCGTACACTTTTTAGCCAATATTCAATTTCATCCATTAACCTTACAAATCCACTGACATAAATTTAAGAACGTATAGATTTTATATGGTATTTCTTTTTTTTTTTTATTAAAAATCGTGTTTGTCTCTTTCATGCTATAATTTTGTTCTATAGAAAAAAACTGAAACAATATATTTTCTACGTATGACAATCATTTTTTATTTTTATTTTTTAGGTCTTTAATGTCAGCAAAATTTGGTGTTACCGCATTACATCAGCCATGTTGGCTTTGCCCTTGGCCGTCTTGTGCGGTATAAATTTTGCCTGTATGAGTTTCTGTAACATTTGGCTCGCCAATCCGTTGGTTCGTTGCTTAGCAATGGAGTGTCATATTGTGCGGCAAGTATGGGAGTTGATAATGGACGTTCTGCTTCGACCATTCTGCGTTTCTGTTGGTCAATGTCTGGCTTCTATTAAAATGACAGTAATGGGTGACTGACCCGTAGTGGGTACGCCTTCGCAGCGTACCCACAAAAAAGAATCCGAAGGGAAAGTCAAGAGCAACAAAGGGGGCCACAAAAGAAGCCCTAAACCGGACGTCGAAGATGCAGAAGAAGATTTCTTCCTGAATTAAAAAAAGAAAAGAAACAAAGGCGAAAAGAAGTGAGAGGAAAACATGGACACCAAAAATCTTGTTATATTTTGTTGAAATCAGTCAAAACGTAAAAATCCTGCGTCAATGTTGTCTGCAGAACTGTTGTTGCTCGTTCGATATTTGATCGAAAACTATTTGTCGTTTGAAAGTTTATTGTTTAAATATATTATCTGCCCACTATCGAATGTTTTCTGATTACATTTCAAGTTTACCCATAAAAATGTTTCTCCAAAAGTGACCTACTTTTCATTATCAATTCAATTATTGCATTTATTTTTTTGTTGTTAAAATTAAAGTTGTCATTGTTTGTTTCATTAAATTCTTTGCTTATTCATTCTTCCTTGATTTTTCTATAAAAAACGAAAAACTTCTTTAAGTTTTCAATAAATATGGAAGAGAATACAATGGACACTAACATTTTTCTATTTTGGTGATCTACACGTTGTGAATTTCATGGATTCTCAGTGTTGTGAACATTATTGCAAAAGTTCATTAGTTCTTTTGGCATTTGTTTTTGTGTGTGAGTGTTTCCATATTTATGTTTTATTCTTGCTTTGTATCATGAAACACTGTTTCTGTATAAAGAAGTAAAATGAACAAGGAAACCAATTAATTAGAAAGTCAACATGACATGATTATATTCTTAACTGTTTTCATCGTTTTCATGTTTAAAAAAAAACATAGTTGGCGGACATGAAGAGTTTTTTTTCTTCTTTTTTGATGCCAAATATCTTTTTGGTTGCAAGTTAACATTAAAACTGTCCTTCCCCCATTCTGAATCCAAGTAAAATCATTTGCACATTATGTTTTTATTCATTTTAAATTTATTTTGCCATTTTTCTCGGTGTTAAAAAACAAGTTGCTTGGTTATGCAACAATCTAATTTTCTTATGCTGGAGTTCGCTGAATTCTTTTTCAGGTTTTTTTCTTATCTTTTATCTTTTTAATGTCTTACAAAATAAATCAGGCAAAGTAAAATTGTAATTAGGCAGAACTTGAAGAAGAGTATGTAACAGCCACCATAACATTTTCATGAGACCCCAACTATCTTTTCAATTCATTGTTGTCAAATATGCTGCAAAGTCGTCCAGTTTTAAGCGGGTATTTCAGCGTCAACTTAATTTTGAATATGAAAGTTCTTTCTTTTATCAGATTTTCACAGTTGAGAATGTTTAAGCAGTGACCATTTTTATTATTGTTATACAATCCTGAATGTTTTAACAAGTTGAGCCATTCCTGTGCAGACACTTTAAAACTAAAAATAACTACATATGGAAAGAAGGAAACTTTCACAAAATCGACGCAATAAAAATAAAACAGATATATGATTATATCAATGAAATTTTTTTTTGAGAATTTTAATCCCTCTCGTGACAACATTAAACTTAACATAAATGACATCTCTATTCAAGCAGAAAATTATCAATGTACGACCTAAGCAACAAAGAACTAAAAAGGAAATATATATATATATATATATATATATATATATATATATATATAATTTGTGTAAAAAGAAACAAATCGTAACATATGATTTCCATTCCAGCTTAAAGGTCGAGTCTTCCTTCGACTGTTTTCAACAAAGTCTTGGTCCAAAGGAAGACTTTTTTACAGTATCTGTAACTATAGATATAAAAATCATTGAAATTATGAAAAATAATTCTATACAGAATGAAAAATATTAATAGGTTAATCTGATGAATATTTAATTTAGAGTCAGCAAATTAATTTTCGACACGCAGTTATAAAATGAGGGTTAAATATTTGTTTTCTTCAAAAGTTATGACAGAAGAAGGTAATTATCAAATTTTTGTCAATTCAATTTTAATCAGTTTATTTATGAAGCATAGCATAAGAATAGGGCGCTCAGCGACGATCGAACTCATTACTAATAATCTATAAGTTCAAGTTGTCGACCATAACACTAACAAATAAATTGGTCTTACTGACTGTATAACTAAAACCCCGCTACCACACTTTATGTTTCGCTTCTCGTTTGTGCTGGATCGCAATAGGAAAGGTTCGTTGTACATTTACAAAGAAACAGAAGGTGAAATTAATGCCACGGTGAGAAATAAAAACGTGAATCATTTTTCTAATATATTTAGTTATTTATTCACTGGCCGAGTTTCGAGTCGAATCTAGTACTCTGTCTGGGGAGTATGTAGGTGGCACTTAGGTTCCTTCGCCTCTTCTTCACACTTTTGGCGAGCGAGTGTGCTACCAACGTGACTGATTCAATGATCATCTTTCGCTAAACGTATTCCCTTTTCCTCGAGGACACTTGCGGAAACTTCTGTCATTTCTGTCACGACAGACTAATGGATACGGTCTTCCTTTCGGTCAGTGAGGACTCTCTTGTCATCCTACTGCCCATCTTTCGTAACTAGCACATGGATGGCTTGAAATTACTCTCCAACGGGTGGTTTGGCACGTTTCTCAATGGACAGCCTGTACCTTGTCAAAATGTGGCATTGTAACTAACTCCTTTACTGTAACTGTTTATATAAGCCTACAAGCAGAACATTTTAACTTCCGGTCAAGTGGAATTTGTTTCCGAAAGTTTTTATTTATTTATCTTTCCTTTTGATCGACAGTTGGTCACTTTGAAGACCTTATTTTGTTTATCTTACTGCTGGTCATAAAGCATCAAACTCTTCAGATAAAAATTAATTTACAATCCACTTTTATGTACATGTCCGGATCCAATCATGTAGGGGACCCATAGTACCATAATTGAAAGACCTTGTGATTTTTGCAATTCTATTTAAGGAAGTCAAATTTTAGTTTCGATGTTCATTGTATCGTGGCTAAAAGTACAGATAGGATCTCTTCCCACACAAAACAAGGGATATTTGTGAAAAAAATTTCCAAACATTGTTGCTGAAGATGTATGGATTACCAATAAAAACAGATACCCCAGAGTAGGGACATTGATCCAATGTGCAAATGACTTGGGGTCGAGGAAACTTGCTGTCACTTGATCTCCAGTATCCAAATAAGAGTTATTGTGAACAGGTCTTCAGCTAAGATCAAAATGCAATAGCATCATTTCCTATATGACATATAAGCACTGGTGGGATTTAAAAATTTTGAGAACGTGTTCTCTCAACAACAGGTCTCAATAGCAACGGTTTCCCTCATATTTCCATAGTCTATACTTTACTATATAGATATAATTTAGGAATAAAGCAAATTTTTCTTGCACTTATTCAAAAATACCAAAATTGATCTGCATTACAATGCAGGTTATTCATTTTGAAAGGAAAATTAATTAAAAGAAATGCTTTAAAATCTTTTATTCATGATCTTTCATTTTAAAATATTTTCAAATAGCCACTTGATTGTCATCAGCACTGTGATTTTTTCTAAGCCATATTTTCACGAAAGGAGTGGCATCCATAAATCTAAAAGGAGACCAATAAGATTATCATCAAGTTCACTGTAAGGCGGCTTCTTTTATCATGAAAATCATTAATGGGAATGTTGTGATGAAAAATTTTTCCTGAAGCCATTCAGCTTTTCTTCCGCTGAGCTCATAAAATTCCAAGTACAGGTTCGCGCGAACCCGATGAATCCCACCACTGCATAATTAAACGATTTGGCAGATAATTTTTTGGCCTCCTCACTCCCTGCACGCAAGCTGCTAGTGGCCCGCTGTCGGACTGCCCATGGCAACGCCAACGGTCCTCTGGTAGCAGCCACCGGTGGGCGTCTAGCGGTCCGCCAGTGGTAACATTACCGAGGGGAACACGTCAGCGGTTCGACAGCGGGCCACCGGCAGTAACCTTTTAGTAGCATGCTACCCAGTGGCAGATTGGTGGCTTGCGTGTAGGGTTCTAGATGATTTTCTCTTCTGATCTAGAAAGACAAATAAATAATGAAACAATGATTTAGTTTTCAATTTTCACCTAACGTCAACAAATAGTCTACAACTTAAACGGATAAAAGCAAATAGAATAGAAAAGGAAAAATCCAAATTCGTTAGAATATAAATGGAAAAGCAGTTATTGCGCATTTGCTTTTTTTGTAGAAACAAGTAACTGAATTAGGAGTTTATTCAATTAATAATAATTTTTGTTAAAAACATAAAAAAGTATGTTTAGCACAAGCATTTTCGAAAAACATAATTTTTTTATGATACGGTAGTGAATAAGAAGACAAAATCATTTGTTTTTGTGACATATGAAATCTGAAAGAGAACAGTTTAACTTTAACGGGATATATTTTTTTAGCCAAAATGTGTTTTTGAATTTTTAAAGATTTAACAATGCACATGACAAGGGAAACAACTTTGAATACACTTAATTCAAGGGAGATAATAAATAAGGAAGACAAAAGTTTTCCAGTGTGCATTGGCCCAAAGTTTTTTTTATCTCTTCTTGGTCGGGCTGAGAACTTTTCGTTACATCTTCGTATATCTCAAGTACTGTCAAAACTTGCTTCTTGTAACGAAAATAATTTTCAGAACTCAGTTTGTCATGTTATTTGATTATTTGCAGGCAATTCAATTTATGTCATTGAGTCATTGACATTTCCCGGGGGAATTTTTTCAAATCCTAAAACGTTTTCAGAGACATCCTCCCTCGATAACAGATAAATAATATATTAAATGAAACAGTTGTTACAAATAATTTATTAAGTGAAACAATTGTCATCTTTAAAATCAATGAATATCTTCCATTTTCAATAATTATGTGACCTTTGTTTAATAACAAGCGCTGAAAGACTTGCTTTTCATAAATAATACATTCCAAATATTGGAACATTTTCCTAGTAGCAACAATAATAAGCAAATCCAAAGTTTATTATAGGGACAAGGAAAAAAAAGCATTTGTTGA